ATAAATTATGCTGTAAACATTCCAAGAACCACGAACTGTCGCATGATAAATTATGCTGTAAACATTCCAAGAACCACGAACTGTCGCATGATAAATTATGCTGTAAACATTCCAAGAACCAGGAACTGTCACATGATAAATTATGCTGTAAACATTCCAAGAACCAAACTGTCACATGATAAATTATGCTGTAAACATTCCAAGAACCAGGAACTGTCACATGATAAATTATGCTGTAAACATTCAAGTCACTGTAATTGATTGGTTCCCAGATATGTCTTTACTACGTTTACTGTAACGACCATAATCCCAAACTTTGGGGTCGGCCGATGATTTTATAAGCCAAGCATTTTTACATATTCGGCGACGGGATTCGAACTCGCGACTCTGAGGTTGCGACTCGAGCGCTCTAGCCACCAGGCCATGTCAGACCCGTTTATGTATTTACAACGCATAAAATCTAGGATTCGATACCATATGACAACAGATCGTGTGTATAAAAATAATTCTTGTATGAGAACGTCTAGCCTTCTTGAATTATAATAAAATTTTCTAACATCGTGACAAATTAACCGTATATAACACTCCGTCGTAAGAATGAGTTGTATACGCAAACTCCATCAAAGCAGTATAACTTGTCCTCCCCAGGGGAATAAGCCAATAACCAGGTTCGATACCTATGGCATAGAGCAGATAGCCCATTGTGTAGCTATTTTTTTTTCTATTAAAGCAGAAACTAACTCCAACTGGCCCCCAGTGGGACAGTGGTACGTCTACGGAATTACAACGCTAGAAACCGGGTTTCGATACCCGTGGTGGACAGAGCACAGATAGCCCATAGTGTAACTTTAAAACACTCACACACACACACACACGCACGCACACTAGTTGTGGCACAGCGGTATAGCTGCGGACTTACAACGCTAGAAACCGGGTTTCTCTATCCTCGGTGGGCAGCATCTTAACTACATACAACAACAACAACTAGAAACTGGAGAGAGATTGATGAAAGTCACCTTGTTAACGGTAAGTATTCCTAATTGCTTTAGATTTAAGAATTTTCAGACAGAAGCGATATTCTAACCTTCAGCTGTTGAGTAATCACTCGAAAAGTATACATTTAATGCTTGGACGTTTTTAAGTGAGTTCATTACAGTCACGAAAATAAGCTACGAAAACGAAGGTTTGGCTTAATGTCAAGGTCAGCTATTACTACTTCTATAAGAGCGTTTGAATCAAGCCAATTTTTCTGGAACGATTCTGCTGGCATAAAGTAGTAATTCTTGATGGCTGATACGCCATCACATCGTATCACAACTAAAAAGCCCACGTTTGTGTTTAAAACCTACGATCTAGGACCTCCCAGACTTAAACAGATATTAACGTATCTTTTGTTTTTTTACTCCATTTAAAGGAATTAAAATATTTGATCATGAAAAGGTTCATGGTTCTGAGATGTTTACAGCATAGTTGGTCATTCAAAAGTTCGGGTTTTTTTTTGGAACGTTTACACCATAATCAATCACTTAAACTTCACGGTTCCGGGATTCATAAGGTTGCTGACAATAAATTTATAGTGACTTG